AAAAAAAAAAAAAAAAAGAAAAAGAGATCACAGAACTATACCTGAAAGCAAGTAGAGCCACAGGAATCTCTGGCAGCTAAAAAACAGGAATTCTAATGATCCATAACAGGTTCAATCAGAATGTGGCCATTAAGATAAAATGGTATTCCAACAGTCTTGGCTCTATGCTCAGGATTTCAGGGAAAGAAACCTCTGATAGGGATACCTTGGGTCAGGTGCCCCAGATTATTCTAGACTGTAAGTCTTCTGGGAAAGACCTAATTCCTGAGCAAACTGGAGTGCTGCTCATGAAGGGGAAATAGATGCCAGGTTAAATAAACAAGAAAATCCGCCATATTATTTCAGCAAAATTCACCATTTATATTCATTCTATAATTTACTATAAATGAAGAGACTTAACATACTTACCAACCCAATAAAATGTAAAGACTTTGCCTGAATGTCAATTAAAATAAATCAACTATAAAAACTTACTGGGACAGGCTGGGCGTGGTGACTCACACCTGTAATCCTAGGACTATGGGAGACTGAAGCAGGTGGATTGCCTGAGCTCAGGAGTTCAACAACAGCCTAAGCAAGAGCGAGATCCCATCTCTACTAAAAACAGAAAAACTACCCAGGCACTGTCGCAGGTGCAGGTAGTCCCATCTACTCAGGAGGCTGAGGTAAGAGGATCTCTTGAGCCCCAGAGTTTGAGGTTGCTGTGAGCTATGACACCATTGGCACTCTACCCAGAGCACCAAAGTGAGACTCAGTCTCAAAAAATAACAACCCCCTCCCCCCAAAACAGTTACTGGGACAATCAGGGAAATTTTAAGATGGAATAGGTAATAGATATTAAGAAATTATTGTTTGGCTGGGTGCAGTAGCTCATGCCTATAATCCCAGGTAGGTAGATTAGTTGAGCTCAGGACAGACTGAGTAAGAGGGAGACCCCATCTCTACTAAAAAAATAGGAGTAGGTACCTATAGTCCCAGCTACTTGGGAAGCAGAGGCAAGGGATGAAGGGAGGAAGGGAGAAAGGAAGGAAAGAGAAAGAGAGAGAGAGAGAGAAATTATTGTTCATTCTCTTAGATATGGCGGTAGCATGAAAGCTATTTTTTAAAAATCTTTATCAGTTAGAGATGCATATTCAAGTATCTATAAATAAAATAGAATGTCTGAGATTTATATTAAATGATTTTGGGGGAAGAGAAATGAAACAAGAACGGCATAACATTCATAACTGTCGAAGGTGGTTGACAGATCCATGGATTTAATTCTATTATTCTACTTTTGTATAAACTTGATTTCTCATAACAAAATTCTAAAAAGCAAATTATTATATATGTTCAGTTAACAAATCTGAGTTAACTATTATGGACCAGGCTCTATACTAAATTTTATCATAAATAATTGCAAAGCAGAATTGAATGAGGTTAAACTGAGAATATGGCGATAATGAGATAAGGAAACAAAACATGGTAAAGATACAGTTTTTTTTTTTTGTTTTGTTTTGTTTTTTGCAGTTTTTGGCCAGGGCTGGGTTTGAACCCGCCACCTCCAGCATATGGGGCTGGTGCCCTACTCCTTTGAGCCACAGACGCTGCCCTGGTAAAGATATAGTTTTAAGTTACTAATCCTATCTGACAAAAAGAGTAACATAGCAGGCGTTCACATGTGCACACATGTCTGCACCCACACAAGAACTCTTCACATGTTTAATTCAAGAAACAAAGTTCATAATTATCTATGAACTATTTGCAGATACTGTGCTAGGCACCACAGTGGGGATAGCAAAGTTTATGTTCTTTTTCTCCACAAGAGGTTTTACAAACCAACTGTAGGGGAAAGACCTAAACACATGAAACACAGAGATAAATAACAAAAGAAGTATATGTGGGTCTTCCATGGGTGCAAGCAACTTCTAAGATAGCTTCCCTGAGATTCTGCCTGGTGTTCAATTTCTCCCCTGAGGGAAGGCTGGACCTAATGATTTGCTTTGGGTGAGCAGAACACAATTAGAAATTAGGTTACAAAAACACTGGTTTTCCCTCTTGCTTATCTTCTCTAGATCAACCTGATGCTAGATGTGATGAACTTCCCTACAGAGATGGCCATGCTGTAGGAGGTCAGGAAGGACTCTGGCCAACAGCCAGCAGTTTATTTATTAAAATAAATCAACTATAAAAACTTACTGGGACAGGCTAGTCAAGCTCTCACTACAGTAGACTTTCTCCTATCAGTCTTTGAGATGACTGCACCCCAGCCAACACTTAGACTGCTGCCTTATGAGATCAGGACCAAAAAGACCCGGAAAAGTTTGCCTAGGAACATGACCTACAAAAACTATGAGACACTGTTCTTATATGCTTATTTATTGCAGCACAATTCACAATCGCAAAGAAGCAGAATCAACTTAAGTGCCCATATGATGAGTAGATGAAGAAAATGTGGTATATGTACACCGTGGAGTACTACTCAGCTATAGGAAAGAATGAAATAATGTCTTTTGCAGCAAGCTGGATGAACTGGAGGCCATTATTCTAAGTTAAGTAACTCAGAAAGTATACTACATACTACTCAGGTGATAGGTACACCAAAAGCCCAGACTTTGCCACTATACAGTATATAAGGTGGACATGAAGTTTGTGTTCATAAAATCACATACGAACTTTATGGACACCCTGCATATATGTAACAGAATTCAACTTGTATCCCCTATTCTATTAAAATTTTTAAAAAATCTGTGAGATAACAAAGGTCTGTTGCTAATACAGTCATCATCCTTATTACAACAATGAAGCACAGTACAACAAAGTTTACTTGTTTTCTAAGGAAAACAGGTTGAAATGATAGTGGCATCTATTATCAAGCTCTCTTTACACAAGAAATTTTTAAATTGCTACATAAGGAAATACAAATTTTACTGTAGAGATATTTTCCATAATTAAACCAATGAGGAACACATTAAATTCTGTCCTGCCAAGGACAGGATTAGATCTCAAAGGGAACTTACCCTACCAAACAGAGATTGGAATATATATTCAAAAATTATTGGAGGGGCATAAGTAATTTATAGAGCTGTATAAAGCATCCGATAAAAATGCAAGTCAATTTTAAAATTTGTTTTTCAAAGTGGTTTTACTCATTTACCAACCACATTTATTAAGACCCTACTGTACACCAATGGAATGCTGTGATAAATATGGTGTATTATTACCTTCAGGAATCCATGAGAGATAAATAGAACAGATACTTTCTTTTTTAAGAAAGAGACAGGAATGTGTTTACAGTCAAACCCAAACATGTAAAATTTAGGCTATCAAATGTTAAATGCCACTGAACAGGTTCTGGTTGACATAAAGGCATATCAGCTCAGTAAAAACTGAACACTTAAGCACTAAGAAAGTGCTTAGTAAAAAATAAAAATTAGGAAGACATCCTGTTTTGTAGCAATATTTTTCAAAATAGCAACTGGCCCACTATTTTTTATTATAAAAATCATAAACGTTACAGAAACTAGTATTCCTATATTAAGTTATATTGATAGAGAATTTAATAATTCATGGGTAACCTTTGTAGTACACCAGGGAAAGGAAACGTCAACTGCTTATAATAATGTCAACACTATGTTTTCACCGGTGACAGGTAAAAAAAATTCAACTACTTTAGCATACCAAAACAGATCATACTCTGACCCCTGCCAAACTTCCGAGCCTGTTTTTTACCACTCTCTCGCCCAAACCCTATGCTATAACCACATATAACCCTATGCCTATTACCCACAATTACCCTACATCTCTCTATCTTTATGTACTTGTTACATCTTGAAAGAACAGAATACCTCTCTTTTTTCATGTAACTCCTAACTGCTGCTGAAATTTGCTCTTTACTATTATCTTCTCTGGGAAGTTGTGCGGGGCCATGACTCTAGCCTTTACCACTCTAGTCTGAATTAGACATTTTCTCTGTTTTTCTGTATTTTCCTGTGTAAATTTCACAGTACACTGATATCCATAAGAATACAATGTGAAAAATCTGGCCATTCACAAGTAAGACTACTCCTCTGTCCCGAACTTGAAACACAGACACGTGCAACTGTGTCAAGGTATTAATATGCAACTTGCATACTACAAGACTGGTATGCAGGGGAAAGCAAGCTAGTAAGGGTCGCAACTGAGAACCCCCAAATCGCTTAAAAAGACTTCTTTTGCCCTGTTGCATCAGTGTTTCCGCAAAAACCGAGAAAGAAGCTCTAGCGAGGACTCTGAATGCCAAAACCCACCTCCTCCCTCCCAACCTCAGAAAGCTATTAAATACCTAAGACCCCAAGGGTCCCCGGCTCAGGGCACAGCAAACATCGAGGGAAGGTGGCGGTGCCGGCTTTTACATCCCCGCGCTACACAGACCTCTACTTCCAGTTTTCCTGGGCCTTACCTGGGATCTGGTACATGTCTGAAACTCAGCTACCGCGATTTTCCAGAGTGCGTGGTTCCGGGCAAGGCTAACCTTACCCCCAAGAAAGAGCCGGTAGGAAACTGCTCCGCCATAAGACACACAGGGAGCCGCCATGTTGACTATGGGAAACCGGGCCAGTGGGGGAAAGGGGGCGGGGTCCGGGGACTGCGCAGGCGCTGACGGCCGCCGGGTCCCGGAGGCTGTCGGGAGCAAAAGCTTTAGGATCCGGGGGCGCGTCCTGCAGCGCTGCGGGACCCTGTTAGACTCCACCCCCTGGTGGGAGTCCACCTGCGAGGGAGCAGAGTTGTAGGTCTTTGGTCTATTTCTTCTTTTTCTAGTCTTGGGTTCTGTTGTTCTAGTCGCCTGGTACTCCCTCCCACGTGACTCTTTAACCACCCCTTCCTTCCCACGCCTGCGGCTGCACCGCTGTCGGCTTTCGGAACCTTGGCTGGGTCTCCCTACCTCCCTCCCTTCTCTGCGGACATCTGGATTCTCCAGTACAGACGCTCACCTCCGACGGGTCCTCATGCTCCAAGCCTTGGTTTTCTCCTCTTAACCTTCCGCATTTTTTTGGATCCAGGTCAAGATCCTTCTCTGAGAGCTGTCAAACCGCGCTAGGTTCCCTGGCACTCAGGCTCGTGTCGTCCTTAACTGTATAATGCACAGGCTAAACTGTACCAAAGAGGACAAACACTGCCTTGCTCACATGTTTGTGGTGATGCCGGTATGAACAAAACTACCGCGTCGCTTGTGTTGTAAAAGTCTAGCACGTATAGTAAAAGTCTGTTACATATAGTACATAATACTCGATGCTGATAATAAACAACTGTTATTGGTTCATGTATTTACATACTACACTTTTAACATTATTTTAGAGCATGCTACTTATAAAAAACAAAAGTTAACTGTGAAAGAGCCTCAGGCAGGTCCTTCAGGAGTTATCTCAAAGATGCTCATTATTGCCCCTGTAGATCTTCCAGTGGGACCAGATGTCTGCACGAAGATGTGGAAGTGGAACACAGTGACAGTGATGAAGATAGCTCTGGTAGGTTTAGGCATAGTTGTGTGTTTGCATCTTCATTTTTACAAACAAGTTGAAAAAGTAAAAAATAAGTTTTAAATATAGAAAAAAGCTTAGAGTGGAAGATATAAAGAAAATATTTATATACAATTGCACAATGTGTGCTTTAAGTTATTATAAAAGTCAAAAAATTTAAAACAAAAGTTTATCAAGTAAAAAAGGTACAGTGTGCTAAGGTTAACTTATTATTAAAGAAAGAAATAATTTTTAAATTTAGTGTAGCCTAGTGCACAGTATTTTTAAGCCCAAAGTAATGCCTAGTATAAGGTGACCAGATTTTAACATTGGTAAAGCGGGACACCATTGACGGAGGTGGGGTGGGGGGTGAGAGGTGGGGGGAGAGGGGTGGGGTGGGGGTGGTTCTTAATTAAAAATTTGATCTATATGGATCAACACAAATTTTCATAGAATGCAAAAATAGTATTGTAATATATTTTTTAATTTCAACATAAGTACAATTTACAAATATAATACATTTTTAAAAATTATGTATAGTATTATTTTACTGTTTGGCATATTTCTCATTTGAGTGAATTTTTTTAGTAGATTGCTGTTGTTGTTTAAAAGATCATGAAATTTTTCACAAGAATTTGTTAAATTGTATTTCACACATAAAATGGCTTTCAAAATCTCAACACTTAATTATGATTTTTCTGATGTCCACACTTTGTTTACCGTAGAAAAAAATGTGTTCAGTCACAGCATTAGTTCCTGGTAAGGACAGCACGTATCCCACAATTTTTAGTGCATTATTGTATGGAACATGATTTGTTTCAAAATGATGAAATATTTCTAACCATTTGTTCTCTATTGTGATTTTTGCTGATGCCCAAGAGCTAACCTTTTCCTTATCAATATATTTTTTTAATAATGATACCTCGTAAGTCATAATTGTCACTTTCAAGGCCGGCGCTAGACTTTTTGCCACACTATAAAATATAAATAATATGAGTACTGTCTGCTAAATTCATGAAATAAATAAACAAATTACTTACCTAAATTATCTGAATAGCTGATTTGTTGACATCACTTGTTTAACTAGCACTAGCACACAGTACGATGTGTATTGTTTGAGAGACAGTTACAAAATGTTTTCATGGTTGCCAATGCCAAAAAATGCTATTGTTCATTAAGTCCAAACAATGGTGGTCGAATTCTAACAACTGATCAACAATGCGAACTTGGATAAGCAGTTGTCGATAATCAGTTCTCCACAATTATTTGTTATTATTCAAGTTTAACATTATAAAATTAACAAAAATAATATAAAACTCATATCCTGGCGAAGTAGCCACATGGCAGCTGAAAACCGTATATTCCCTTCCTGTTCTCCTGCCGTTCCCTAGCTTGTCATGCATTCTTTCCAAAAATTGGGACTTTTTTAAAATGCCGCAGGATGTGGGACAAATTGTTAAAAATTGGAACTATCCTGCCAAAAGCAAGATGTCTGGTCACCTTAGTAGCACCCTAGGTCTTCACATTCTCTTGCTACTCACTCACTGACTCACCTAGAGCAATCTCTAGTCCTTTAAGCTCTACTCATGGCAGGTGTACCTTTTAAAAATCTCTTCTGTCATATCGTTGTAATACCTTTTCTGTATTAAGGTACATAAATACCACTGTGTTATAATTACCTACAGTACCCTGTACAATAACATGCTGAACAGGTTTGTGGCCTAGGAGCAATAGGCCATATAGCCTAGGTGTACACAACTAGGTTTGTGTTTTAAGTATACTATATGATGTGTATACTTACACACCACTTCTCCACCTTTGGCTAAGATCAAGTATATGATGTGCACTATGAGAAACGCTGCACTGTGATGCACAGTGACAAAATCACACATGGACAGGTTTCTCAGAATATATCCCTATTTAATGCAAGTGTAGTACATATACCACCCCTATAGGCAACATTACTGCCCTAAATTTCTTGGATAGCGTTTGAGTTTGGGAACAAATATTCTGCTATCGGTTGACACTCCATAACTTGGAGACAGAATGAAAAATTGGAAAGTGCTGATAATCATTTAAAATATGGAAAAACATAAGTAGTTTACCAAATGGCTAAAGTGTAGATTCCTTTCTTTTTTTTTTTCTCATTTATTAGTCACCTGTTAAGTGATAGGCATCAGGCATCCTAGAATGGAGTCGTGTCTAATGTAAGGGTTTGGATCTAAAGTCAGCTTGTAAAATAAACTTCAGGAGAGTCAAAATGTTGGATTAACACCAACTGTTGAGAACTGGAGTAGCAGGAACTGATAGATGTTACTGACAGAAGTGCAGATTGGTACACCCCTCATGAAATTAAACACCTTGTCAATGACCTACCGATCTTAAGATGCATTCATCCACAATCTATCAGTTACATTCCTAAGTAAATACCTCGCAGAAGTCTTGCACAGTGCACCAGGAGACATTTCTAAGAATGTTCCTAGCAAGATGTTTTTTTGATAACAAAAATAACCTGTCTATAATGGGAGGACGGATGGATGGTCGAGAGAGTAGCACATGGCAATGGCAATGAATGAGCCTCAGCTACACGTGATTATGTATGAGTTTCCCAAGGGGAGCAAAGAATGGGAAGTCACAGATACCTACACACATTTGTATCAAGTTCAAAACTGGACAAAACTAAGTAGGATATTGTTTAAGAGTTTATCCATGGGCAGTGCCTGTAGCTCAAAGGAGTAGGGCACTGGCCCCATATGCCAGAGGTGGCAGGTTCAAACCCAGCCCCAGCCAAAAACTGCAAAAAAAAAAAAAAAAAAGTTTATCCTTTGTAGTAAAGAAAAGCAAGAGAATTATAAACACAAAATTCAGGATAGTAAATACTCTTGAGAGGAAAGAGAGAGAGATGCTGAGAACATCCCAGTGTTCTTGGCCTGTGAGTGGTGGATCCACAGGTGTGCATTTATTTTGTTATTATTCTTGAAATGCTACAAATATGTTATATATAGATACATCTAACAGGAAGGGTTTATTTTCATCTTCCATCTCACTCTGACTTGCACTGGAAGTTGTGGCAGGAATATAAATTGGCATGATTGTTGTTTCTTTTTCCTGTGTTGTTCATACCTTCTTTCCATATTCCTGTCTCTTTTATTGCTTTCTCTCTCTCTCTTCCCCCTCCAGTGTGTATAAGTTAAATTCTGAATGGTGTAGGCCCTAGAAAATTGATCCCCCTTCCTCCATGTTTATGGGATTCTTATAAAGCATACCTGGAACTGCAGAACTTGGTGGATCAATATGAAAATCTTTAGCTTAGGAAAAACACAAAGCTTAATGAGTCCCACAGATAATAGATTTTCAGGGAACATTGGACCAAAGATGGCTGAACCTTGGGTGGTTTATCAAAAGTGCACTAATTGGCTGGGTGTGGTGGCTCACGCCTGGAATCCTAGCACTCTGGGAGGCCAAGATGGGTGGATTGCTTGAGCTCAGGAGTTTGAGACCGCATTTCTTAGGCAAGACAGGCTTGAGCCTAAGAGCTTGACATTGACTCTGAGCTATGATTCCACAGGACTGTACCCAGGCGACAGAGACTCTTGTGTCAAAAAAAAAAAAAAAAAATTAATAAAATAAAACTTCTTTAAAATAAAAAAGTGCGTTAACTGTGGATCAAGCAATCAGAGTTCTCATCCAGGTCCTGCCACAGACTCTCTGTCTGACAATGGTGGTTTCTTTCCTTATTTTTTGGAGACAGAGTCTCACTTTGTCACCCTCCATAGAGTGCCATGGCATCATAGCTCACAGCAACCTCAAACTCTTGGGGCACAAACGATTCTCTTGCCTCAGCCTCTTGAATGGGACTATAGGCTCCTGCCACAATGCCTGGCCATTTTTAGAGATGAGGTCTCACTCTGGCTCATGTTGGTCTTGAACCTGTGAGCTTAGGCAATCCACCAGCCTCTGCCTCCCAGAGTGTTAGGATTACAGGTGTGTGCCACCGCACCTGGCCTGGTGGTTTGTTTAGCTCATAGAATGCTACATTTATCATCATCATAACCAGGGAGCAGATCAGACCAGAATGAGAGCATCAGTATTACTTGTTAAATTGTGTCCCACGAAAAGATGTTACAGTCTTACCC